GTAATGCGCGCGCGCGCACACATATATATATATATATATATATATATATATATATACACATTACATTTCATTCACAATATAAAGCTAAATGAGTAATAGGATTAAATTACAAAAAAAATAATAAAAATGTTTACGATACTTTAACACACTTATCCATTAATATATTTGAAATGATTTAGATAAATATTAACGTAACAGCTACTCACTTGGAAGAATTCATTTTATTTTCTATCAAATTCGGAGCTAGCGCGTTCGTTTTTTTCAAGTTTTCCACAGCTTCTTTTGCTTTCTGCTCTTGCATTTTTGCCTGTATTTCAAGCTTTTTTTGTTGAATAATTTGTTCTTGTTTTGACATTTGCGCAAAACGTTCATTTCGGGATGTTTTCGATACAAACGGATCAGAACCTTTCACACCGCGGTACGCCATATTTATTATATCGCAGATGACTCCCTATACACTTAACGATATTTCGACCTAAAGCCAACTAATACCTGTTAGCAATCGCATCGACGTAGCAGCACCAGCGTTCTAGCATCAACCTTAGCGCAACCAAGCGGCAGATGATTTAACTAAAACGATTAACAATTACACAATGGATTATGAAAAAAAAATTTAGATTCAAAATATTATTATACGAGGTACGTTGTTTAATAATCGCGTGTAGTTAATAATTTACATTAAAGAAAAAATAATTAAAGTATAAATCCAAATTGTATAAAATAATATTGTATTCTATTATAAAATATAACTTGTTTATATGAACATTGTTTACATATACAACAGTTATATGCAATTTTGTAATTAAATTTTATTTTACTTGATCTTCACAACAAAACATTTCATTTTGCATAATAGTATGTTTTCAAATGGCGAATAAAGTTTATTGTATTTAAATCAAAACAAATAAATCTGATTATGACTAATTTAATTTTAATTAACCATCATTAAATTATTTTATATATTCTTCATAAAAAATATTGTATAATACTTATATATATATATATATATGGAAATAACTATATCGTACTCGTAACTATGGACACAAAAAACTTTAAACCTTTATTACGTATGTTTACATTACACGAGTGAATATCAACGATCATGTACATAGCGTAACCAAACATTTTAATTGCATTTTATATACAGGATTAATTAATTTAGAGAAGAAATATCAAATTGACGACGATTAAATGGAGAAATGTTTAACGATATTCACGAAAAAAGTAAGTAACTGATAAATAATTGAATAATCAATTGATTAATAATATATGTATTTGAATAGAAAGAAATAAATGATATACACGAAAAAGAAAAAAAAAATGATTAAAATGTATTTAATGTGTATCGTATTTTCTTATTTCTGAATATAGTATAGAAATTAACATATGATAATTTTAATATTTTGTCAAATAAATTAAATATACAATACAATAAATAAATAAAAAAGCAATGAAATTTAATAAACTAATATACATAACATATAAATATACAGTATGTTGGAATCGAAAAGAGAATCGATCAAGATTTTTATTCACGAAAGAAAATATTGGTTGAAAAACTTAAATTACTCTGTCGTTTGATCGAGAACAATACGAAGCAGCAGCTAAAAAAGGAACAATATGGGATGAAAATAATAAATTGTGCGATTTTGTAAGAGATGTTGAGAAAGCTAAACAAGAAATAACACGTACGTAAATTTCTACATAAATACAGTTCATATATTATAATGTAATAATGTTAAGTAATTTAAAAATAAATATTAAAAAATATTTATTTGTTTAACTTTTGTTGCATAAATTTTGAAAGAAGACTTAAAGAAAAACAATGCGTTATTTTTCATATAGAACGAGAGAGTCTTCTTCATAAAGAGAATTTAAATTTTAAGCAATTTCAACGAAATGTTGAATTAGAATTGGAAGCGATAAAACTTGCGAAAAAGAATATCGAAGAGAATTTGAAGGAGACCCTTAAAAAACGAACGTAAGTAATTTTCTATACATTCTTTCTGCTCGAGCAAATTAAATGTAAAATAAATATAATCCTTGAATATATGTTGTTAAAAATATATATTTACAATTTAATATACATTTATTCTATATGTATACGCAGTACTTAATAAAACGTTTTATTATATTAAAAATTATTTTTAATATTCTTTTAGAGAAGAATTCTCATCCAAGATTTTAGATGCAAACTCAAAGAATAAAATAAAGATAAAATCAATGGAAATGGAGATCGAAAAGTTCGATCTTCGTTTAAAATCTAATCACGAGATAAACCAGTTGGAAATTAACGATTTATACAACAAACGGTAGGCAGAAGGATAATCTTATTATCACTATACGACCGATTTATAAAATTATATTAGAACTAGAAACTATAAAATATAACAATATAATATTTAATTATATATAATACACTGATGTACAGGTACAAAATGAAAAAACGATATCTAGATGAATTGATAAAATACGACAAACATATAGAATCACTTTATACGTATAAAAGTACTCTTTTAAGTGAAAAAGATCGTATCAACAAGGAATACGCGATTATTCAGGTGAGCTAAAAATATTTTAGTATTTATTTTATATATTTACAAATTTACGATTCCAAAATTTGAAAATCAAATTCACACATTTTGAAGGATCAGCTCATCGCACAACGCAGTTTATATAAACAATTAAAGGAGGAACAGGAATTAAACGAGGAAAAGGCTTTTCTAGAGAGGATAGAAAATTTTCGCCGAAATCACGCGGCGAAAATTATTCAACAAAATTGGAAATTATATCACATGCGTGTGTCTGTGAGAAAAAAGAAAGGTAGAAAATAATTTGCAATCAATTCAAGATTTCAATTTTTATCCTTACAGTTTTTTTTTAAATAACACGGATAAAATATATGTGTTGTTTTGCTTGAATAATTTTTTTCTTATGTTAAATCGATAAATTATTATTACATTTTTTTCTGAGTAACAGTAATATATATTATAATTGCAATAATACACAGATTTTAAACAGAAATTATTAAATATCTAACTATATTGATCTTTTACTATGTTTAGAAACCTCCCTTTCTCTCCTTCTCTCTCTTTCTTGTTATCCTTTTCTCTTCTTTCCTTTAGCCCTCCTCTTTCTGTGTCGCCACTCTGTTGCTCACCCTCCCTCTGGATTTTCGCTCTTATCGCGATCGTGTTTACATTTCGATAATATAACTTGCAGAGAGCAAACAAAATATTCTCTCTCTCTCTCTCTCTATTTTGAAGGAAAAACATGGAACTAAATTACACGTATCTCTCCTACAATTTTACGTAGTCTGTCTTCCAAAATGCAAAATAATAGATAAAAGTAAATTGTAACTTCATTATTCAATCATCAATTTATTTAACACAGAAATGCAAATTAAGAAAGATAAAGTGACAAAACAGAAAAAACGAATGGGAAAAGCTTGAAGAAGTTTAAAAAGAGGGGGGAAAAAAGAGAGAGTAAAGAAGTGAAAGAAAAATACCTTTACCTAAAAGCTAAAAGGTGATGAACCGCGCAACTGGAAAACGAATAGTTAATAGTCACGCGGAGGTTGACGCATGCTCTGTAACGTTTCCCCGGGGTGATATTCAGTCAGGCAAACTGAGCCAGGAGCCGAGGCTAGTAGACGTTCGATCGTTACGAGGTGAATCGGTGGTCGGGCGTACCGCGAAACGAACAATTTTGGACATGCGTATCGATCGTTATCGTTCTCACCTACGTACGGCCACTTATTTCTGGAAAATATCTTCCGTTATTAGCATCAATTCTGATATTTAGTTTGCACACCAATAATAACCTTTCGCTTCGTCACGAGGAAAAAACGGTTGAGCAAGAGAAACGAGAGCGGACGAAAGAAGAAAAGGAAGATAGGAAGAGAAAGAGAGATAGAGGGGAAAAAGCGAAATCTAAACAAGAAAAAGGATATCGAAAATATTCCCTATATATATTATACTATATGAAATGAGAAAAATTCCCAATTGAGGGCTTGGATCAATTGCTTAAAACGGATTCGAATTTTGGAAAAGTCGAAAGGAAATTAATTAGGGTGAGATCGAAGCAATCCTAGCATGATATTATTAGATAAAAACCATTTAGATGCATGCCGACATTGGATAGTCGGCTTCCAATCTTCCCCGTAGAACGAATGCGCACCACCTGTAGCTCGATATCTATGCTCGGAAGGTCAATCACCCTTTCATTATGTTCCTTCGCAAATGTAAGTAAAACAATATTTTTTTTTTGGCAATCGATCATTGTATTATTAACATCTCGATATATTTTATGCGTTTATTTATCAATTTATCTTTTCAATTAGACAATGACAAGATGTTCATTGAAAATTAAAAGGGCACATTTGAAAAATTAAAGATTTTATGTTATTAAATTTTACAATTGTTGTGCTCATTTTATAAATTTTTATTTATGAAGAAAAATTATTTAGAAAAAAAACGAATGATTTCTCTAATATGAAAGAATAAATATCAATGTTTTAATGAAATTTAAGAATATAAGATCGTTTTGTAATCATTGCAATTATTATGATCAGTATTGCGCGTTCATTTGCAAATATCTCAATATCAAAATAATTTCAAAATTTGTTTCATTCATTATGTGAATATGATTTAAAAAATAACAAGTGGTTCGAAATATTTAATATAAAAAATAATTAATATTTATTATTTCGTTGTTCAATTATTTTATACGGATAATTAATATTTTTTATAGCAAGAAATGAGGAAAATATAGAAATAAAATAGAAGAAAGGAAGGACGAGAAATAAAAGGGAAGAAATAATAGAAATAGAAATAAAAGAATAAGAAAGAAAACGCGATAGAAAAAGCAAAGGCTATCCGATTCATCTTGTTTCACTGCGACAAATTTGAGCAATACAGTTTAATATCTATGTATATATTACATTTATTAATATAAAGTAATATTTAACGAGTTTGCATTATTTTTAAGTTATTTTAATAACAAATATACTCGTTTACAGTTTCAGCAGGATGTACACTTTACATAAATATATTTCTAAATATATCACAAATGAAAATTAATCGGATTCGAAATCATTAAAGGAGAAATTATGACTGAAGAAAGTAACAACACCGTTTCTTGCAAATGGAGCATGGAGGAACGGGAAAAGATATTAACTACAGGAACGTTAGAACAAAAAAAAGAAGCTTTCAGAGATGATGAAGAATTAATGAAAGAAACAACCAAATTTGTAAGTGATGTTATACAAACGGCGATCTCGGAAGCTTCAAAAAGGAAGATGGAGGTTTGTAATTTATATCGTTTATATTGCGTATTTAAGACGGAATTATTGTCGAAACTATTCGTTATATATATAATTTTATTTTATTATTTTCAGAAAGGTGATGATAGTGAAGGTAATCAAAAAAAAAAATTGTATTTGACAGCAGAGAACGAATCGATTGCATTTCATCAGAAAAGCATATCGTGAAAAAAAGATACATTTTAGATAGATTAAAGATAGATTTTTATTTCAAAATTTATTTTTATTCATAATTTTTTTTTTGATAATTAAAATATTTGTCTGTGTAGGAAGTAGATTAAAGGGTATCGGTAGCATCACTGGTTGGAATCGTCGTGCACGTGGATTTTGCAGTCGAATATTGAACGCGCTATGCCCGTGCTTCACTAGCAATGGTAAATCGTAGAGCGTATCGAATTTAGTGATTACGCGCGATTGTGCAGCCATGTTCAAACATTGTAGCTTTGCTCTTGTAGCGACTCATTTCCTTAACCTGATCATCAAATTGATTACTCATAAATTTCGTTTACACTACTGCTCATGATTATCCGGAAATTTGTTTGCAAGATGTAAGTCTAATTACAAAATCACGAAAAAATTGATTACTTTACTTTTTGCGATTTTAACGATACGATGAATTTGGTCAAATTTATATATCATTTCTACGAAAAATCATAATATTGATTGAACCGAATATTCATAGTAGTGTATCTGTTATTTATGATAGTGTATAATTCCATGTTCGAGGACGGAACGAAAACTTTGCTATCGTTATACTTTCATGTTACAATATTTCAATATATTATGTTATATTCCAATTGAATTCGAGATTTGGAACTCCATCGATTGATAAATTTTTTAACTTTTTTCTCTATTTTATATTGTTCAGTGTATTCATATTATATCCCTGTTAACTGAATGAAAACTTTTATTTACAAAATAATCAACAAGCAATCAACAACATAGGTAGTGGAATAATAAATGAGGTAAAATATATACTAAGATAATATAAGCGAAGCATAAAAGAAAGTAAAAATATAAGGTAATATATATATAATAGTTATAACAGTTATTGTATCGATCACAGGTTGATATGCATTTTATAATATATATATATGTATACAAAAAATTCGATGGATGAGTGAATATCTCAATTTTCATATTTGAAAAATGTATGCGTTATATATAAATTTTCATATTATATCGAAAATTTCACGAGGAACACGCGTATTAATTCGAGATCTCCAAAGGCTCGAAAACCTGAAAACCAATCAGGACGTCCTCGTTCATTTTCATTGTTAAATAATTAACGCATGCTCGACATTCGACTCATTCTCTATCTTATCCTCGTGTCCTGTAGTTACGCAGCTATTACATGTAGCAGCAGCCTATAAGATCACTTGGCATGCGTGACAACGCGTACTAACGCGTATCATTGAGACGCGCTCATAGTTTGAATATATTCATCGATACATCTATTAATGTGATTATATACATAATTCATAACATCGTGTCAAATTATTTCTAAAATGTCTCGATACTCTTTTCATATGATGATAATACGGATACAAATGTAGAATAATTTAGTGGGTAAATATACATAACCTATCTTTCCAGAGAAACAAATGTCTATTGAGAAAAATTACAGAGATATGTGAAACAGTGTATCGGGACGCGAAACAAACATTGTGCACGTTGTAACCACTAGGCATAACACATGCTTAAAATATTGTTATATTATAACATTAGTATATTACATTATTATATCTATTCTTTTCATAGAATTATTCGCCTGGACACCGTACCGATATCGCTTCACAAGACCGTAATTGTTTGCTGCCTACCAGAATTACCATGTTTTGCCGAGCAACCAATCCTATTGATAAGATAATAGATATCACGAATATTCGTGTATGCAAAATTAAAAGAAATTAGTGAATCGCGGTCAACGGTCGGTTCTTGATCCTATCTGCTATTGGATTTAAACAATTACAATTTTGTATTACAAATTGTCAATAATTTCTACAGTATTGATTTATGTCTTATCAGAATTCTAGTCAATCCGAATATCTCTATAAACGTATGTATGAATGTATATTCGTATACATATTATGTGTACTACGACTTATGGTATGTAGTTGTTCCCGAATTTTTGTATTAAAATTTTAATCCTTTCCATATGAGATTACGAAGAAATGTTAATATCTAAAATATCTTTCTTTGCAACGTTGCGTGTTTAGGAGCGATGGATATGCGATTCTGTTTCCTTTCGTGTCCTTACACGTACTTATATGTATATTAGTTCACCGAACAGAACGCAAATAATGCGATCATAAATAATGAAGAAAAAAAAAAAATGATGTCAATGTGGAAAGAAAATTAGTTGTACGTTAACTGCTAATCCTTTGTGTAATAATTTTGTGCTAGTCAAATATCAAGAAATAAAAAAAGGTGAAACAAAAATGATGGAATGAAGATGCAAACGAATGAGACAGAGTAAGAAAAAATAATGAAAGAAAGGGAGAGAGCGAGCGAGCGAGAGAGAGAGAGAGGAGTGAATGAGAGAAAAAGAGATTAATTAAAGATTATATATATTCAGTGTACAATTACTTGATGTGGGATCAAAAAAAAAAAGCCTATTAAATGACAATCAAAAAGAAATGCATTGTACATGCATGGAAATTTATTTACACAAACAAGATTGCAACATCTTTGTTGCGAATTTGTTGTTGAAGAAACAATCAAATTGATTAAACTTTTCAATTATTACATGGCCGAATCATCAAGACACAATGAAATATAATTAATATATAGTATACGTTTGTGAGTGCATACGTATACGACTGAAGTTATATGTATGTATGTACAAATAGACGCAATTACTATTCTTGTGCATCTGTAATAAATATACAAATGTAAATAAAATGTCATTAATAAGTTGTGTGTTAATTGTATTTACAATTTTTTTAGGAATTCGATATTTATATATGCATGTGTATCCAGTTAATATTTCTAAATTGAGATAAATTAAATGCATAATCGTAATAGAAATCAATTCACAATTTGGATTCTACTTATGAAAACAAGAAATCGTATCATTATTACTTAATGATTTAATTCTTTTAGATGAAGAATAGATTTAGATAATGATAAATTGTTCTTGCAGTATTGTAATTTAATAATTTTTAATAAATTAAGTATAAATAACTTTTAAACAGAAAGATAGTTAATTTAGAAGAACTTGAGAAATTGGAAATAAGAAATTATTAAATTATATGTAATATGTAATATATGCAAACTGGTTACCATGGAAAGTTACATACTTCTATAGGTTAACAGATGGTTATTGAGAAATCAATCATCACATTGCCTTAAATATACTAAAGAAAGTATGACTAAAGAAGTGTAAAGATAGTTTTTTTAAATTAAGAGATAGAAATAATCGACTTTTACGTATATTATTTTTTCTATTTCATTGTTGAAATAGAATTGGTGTGTATAGTGATTTGCGTGATTTAAATTTTATCAAATCGATCAAGAGGAACTATTCTCTGTTGCTAACCATACATTTGTAAAGAAAGTAGAAAAGAAAATAATTTGTATCCATAAATATAACTTGATATATAATGTTTATATAACAAAATATGAATCAATATATCGTGTGCAAACAATGTATCTTCAATAATGTGAATTACAAGATTTGTATTATAGGGATTAAATTTATTTCATAATTTATCTTGATATATTAACTATTAATTTTTATTTATATTTATTTTTCTTTAATTGAATACATTCAACAAAAAGTCATAGAAGAAAAAGAAAAGTAAAAAAAAAAAGTATATGTACATTTTATGAAAAAGCTTATGAAAAATCTATTGAAATAAAGTATCAAGATGTATAAATATACAAAAAATAATTTAAATATTTGTCACTATGTGAAGAAAGAGTAAAATTTCGAAATCGACTTATTGATATAATAAAGAGAAAAGTATTGGATGAAAAAGAAAAACAAAGAAGAGAGCAGATATTTTATGAATTCGAAGAAGAGATAGAACAGGAAATAGAAGAACAGGATAAGGATATAATTATAAAAGACGAAAATGAGATTTTACGATACTATTATTATTTGCTACAAGGCATCGATGATGTTTACATAGGATCAATAGATATTAATCTTTTGAAAAATATACTAAACCGTATTCCAACCAAATGGAAAGAAATATATAAAAATACTTTAGATGGTTTAGTGAAAGAAGTAAAAGATGAATATTTATTCAGTATAAAGAAAGCAGTTATAGAATTCGTTATAGGAGAGTCGCCGTATCCTTTGTTATATGAGGTATTTTTTAAACAATTTAAAATTAATAAAATTAATAATAATTAAAATATTAATCTATAACATTTATACATTTGAAACACATATTATCGGGTCTAAAGAAGGAAATGTTTTGGATTAAAAAGCAGATTAGGTATTAATTCGTTATAAAATTATCGAAAATTAATTTTGGTAAGGAAATAGAATATTTCCAGAACTAACAATGCATCTCACTCTTAATAAATACTTGCGTCACGTTGTTGTTATAATATTGTACATTCTCGTACAATACCGAAAAAAATGAAAGGAAAAATATTAATAATAGGAAGAAGAACGGTGATTAGTAGGGAAGAAAAGATGAAGATTCAAGAAACTACTATAATTTTCAGTTTGCCGCAATTGAGAAGTTTCAATTTAAAGGAGTACGATTTTCAAAAGAACATGAAGTTCAATATCATTGGAACAGAGCAAAGATCGAGAGAAAGCTCATGCTATATCATCCTGTTATACGACGAATTTTTGATCTTTGGCATCGAGAATTCAGGTTGGTTTCTTGTGCACAAAATTGTTTCCATAATATTGTTAACCACGGATAGGTTTGATACATATATATATTATAAAAACGAATTTTTTAATATATAAAGTCATTAAAATAAAAGAAAAATTATTCTATTTATTTGCTGCTAAGAATTTTTTTTTCTTCTTTAATGAATTTGACATTAAAATATGCAATTGTTCGTTACATATCGTTTAATGATACAACAGTGACTGCAAGTTTTTATGCGAAGTGGAATTGGCAAACCGAGAATATATTACGAATCTTGAAGTATTCGAGAGAACTATTACAAAGATGTATCATAAGATAAAGGAGGACCTTTTAAAATATTGGTTACCAAAAATTCAAGCGTTTTTCGTTACGGTATTATAAATAATTTATATAATACAAAAATCTAATTATTGAAGTAAAGATAAAGCGATATTTTTACGGAAATATTTTTATCGATAAGATATTTTATTTATAAATTTTTAAAATCAGAAAATCTTAAATGATAAGAAATATTATAATATAATATATTTAAGATTATATTATTTCATTTTATATATATATATATATATATTACATTATTCATTAAGGCACTTCATCGAGACGAGTTACCACATCGAAGTTCAGCAAAGTATCGAAAATTTTTTAATTGCGTCGCTGTCATCATGGAAGAACAGTTGCGAGGACTTTTTTTGCGTTCGATAGATCAGTTTTTCAATTATCTTCACAACAAAAACGTGAGTTATATTTTCGCGACGAGAAGAAATTGGAAAGAAAAGAAAGCAGAGAAGATCATTATGGAATTATGGCATTCTATTACTAAAATTAGATATTCTTTTCTTTTTCCATTTTTATATTCAATTTATCATATTTTGTATTATTATCATGTTGTTGAAAAAAAAACCTAACCTAAAAATTTGATTTATGTTATTATTCATTATAGCAAATGCGTCGTGGCTTCGACATAAAAATAATGGTGCGAAACGAACGGATAATATTCGATCCAACGTTTAGCATGTTTGTGGAAACATTTTCGACGATATTAAATTTTTTGCGAGACTCTATCAATGTGTTTCCACGCATTGAAACACTGTTGAATGAAACCTTTGATCTTAATAAAAAATTACTCCAGGTATTTATTCTCCGTTTTGCACTTAATATTTGTTATAACTTAATAGCGATCAGAAATTGAGAAATTTTGCCTTGATCTTAACCTATTTTTATATTTAATTGTTCAAATATTGCTAAATATTTTTGCTCACGAAATCACGAGTGACACATCTTACAACACAGAAATTTGAGATCTTTAAGAAGAATTTTAACGATCGAATTTTCCTTCTCGATTTTCACATCCTCCTCTCAAATTTCACATACGTACATTCAAATATAACGTTCCCGTTATCGTCACAGCCGTATATACCGGTAGAATTTTTGAACAAGTGCAAAGAAGACATCGAGCAGCTGATCGAGAGGGAAAAGGTTGGCCCGATCGAGCATTTAAAAAGATTTGAAAAGTATGAGAATTTTATAATCGAATTGGAATCGAGTAAAGTCGAAGAATTTAAAAAACTCGATACCTCGGAAAACTTCGATAAATATCACGATCTGATAGACTATTACGATCGTTTGTCCCGCGATGTGACAATCGAATATACCGAAACTTACTACGCTGGATTTTTCATTCTACGCCGTAAAGATATTGTTAAATATATATCAATGGCGGCGCAAAAATTTAAAAATATGCTGATCACCAAAATGATCAGCGAGTATCAGCAAAAATCTCGAGCGTAAGCTTTTTTTATTTACTCTTCTCTCTCTCTCTCTCTCTCT